TCTTCTTCTTCCTCCTCTTCTTCCTCCTCTTCTTCCTTCTCCTCTTCTTCCTCCTCTTCTTCCTTCTCCTCTTCTTCCTTCTCCTCTTCTTCCTCCTCTTCTTCTTCCTCCTCTTCTTCTTCCTCCTTCTTCTTCCTCCTCTTCTTCCTCCTCCTTCTTCTTCCTCTTCTTCCTCCTCTTCCTTCTCCTCTTCTTCTTCCTCCTCTTCTTCTTCCTCCTCTTCTTCCTCCTCTTCTTCTTCCTCCTCTTCTTCTTCCTCCTCTTCTTCTTCCTCCTCTTCTTCCTCCTCCTCTTCTTCCTCCTCTCATGATCTCTGTCTGGTTTCTTTATATTGTAAACCAATAAATAAGATAATAAAAGAAAAGTGACACTGGTTAGAAGGCACCATACAGTATTTGTATTTATCGTTACACCCCCAGAGCTGCCCCCGGACCCCCCAAATTTTCCATGGATGTTTTGACTTCCTAAACACTCCTCCCTTCCTGCCTTCCTTATGTCAGGAGATATTTACTCTTCATGTCTCCCTATGATGCCGACTCTGTGCTGAATAAGCCGATCCCCAGATTCCATCATCCCAGTTGTTGGTTGTACCCCGAAATATATCATCCCAGTTTATGATTGTTCCCCGACCCCATCACCCCAGTTTCTGGCTGTTGCCCCAACCCCATCACCCCAACAGCAGTGCTGAGTGTATGGCCAGCATATCGGTTCATCTGCTCATGCCAGGTCTGACTGTAGGTCTGGCTGTATGGCTGTGGTGTAGGGCTGCAACAACTAATCGACATAATCGATTATAATCGATTATTGAAAAAGTTGTCAACTTTTTCAATAATCGATTAATCGGCTTCCGATCAGTTGGCCCTGTTCACGGCTCCACACACGCTGCGCGCAGATTAACCGATTAATCGAACTTAATAATCGGCTAACTAATCGATTTTGAAAATAATCGTTAGCTGCAGCTCTACTGTGGTGCTCAGGTCTGGCTGTAGGTCTGGCTGTAGGGCTGTGGTGCTCAGGTCTGGCTTTAGGTCTGGCTGTAGGGCTGTGGTGCTCAGGTCTGGATTTCCCCAGTACCAGGTGGGAGCACAGCTGCAGCAATTAGCAACCTTTAATTAGAAACCTTTTGTAAGAGAGCAATTAGTTTCCTGCACAGCCTCTCAGGTGAGACAAACGGTCGGTGGCCCTCAAGAGCCCGAACTGAACATTACTGCCTATAGCAGTGTGATCCTGTATAGCTGTAGTGGGGACAATAAGATTGTAAGCTCCTTTGGTGCAGGGACCTGGTGATGTCGGTTCTGTGAGAAGTTCTGCAAACTTTGTCAGAGAATAACACTCGCTTGTTGTGGTTTTTTTGTGTCTGATTTCAGCTAAAGACCAATCACTCGGCCTGGAAGGAGCTGGCCAGGACAAAGGTCATGATAATGGAGAAGCTGCCGATGGTGGAAGTAGACAGCTACTACCATGCCCTCATGTCCATCTGCCTCGTCATGGCCTTCTCGCCGTTTGGCTGCTCGCCGGCCGCCTACATTGTAGCCGAAAAAGAAAAAAAGCTGAAAGAGTTTATGAAGATCCTGGGGCTCCACGACACGGCGTTCTGGTATGACGGAATCATTACATTGTACGCATAGTATCTCCTCGTCTCTCACTGTCCGTCCATCCCTCTTATTCATGAACACTATGGGGAAGATGTACATATGTTACGCCCAGTGTATAGCTGGCACTAGTGCCCCTAGATGGCGCTGAGGAGTATGGGAAATGTCACTTCCTGTCAGACCGAACAGGTAAAATCCTCCAAATGAGGGACGCAATTAAAACGCATCTACCCCATTTCCCCGAAAATAAGACCTAGTTGTGACCATTCCCAGCGCCGGTGGCGGCATAAGGGGGAAATTGAAGAGCCGTGGGAGAGAATCAGAGGTGCCGGCGCTAGAGGAAGCGAGGCGGCAGCGGAGGGAGCAGAGCCGCATAAGCCGACGCCTCCTCTATAGCCCCGCCTCCTGTCACAGGCGGAGTGATACCAAATGCGCTCCGCCTGTGAGGGATCGATAGTGACAGCGCGCTTCGCTCATTCTGGCCAGCGATTGCTTACCAAATTAAATGTTTTTCATTTTAATTTTTTCAAATTTTTCAAATATTTTATTTTTATTTATTTTTTATAAACTTTTTTTATTTTTACAGAGTGTGTTTACTATATCCTCAATCATGAATGAACAGGAAGTGATGTAGACGTGTAGATCACTTCCCATTCATTCATAATTGAGGTTATAGTAACCATACTCTGTCCTCAATTATCTACAAACACTCGGCGATCGCTGACGGCTTGTACCCGCTCTCCTTCCTGACGCGCTGTCACAGGAGGCTGAGCGAGCGGTGCGGGGAGGAGAGCTCAGCCTCCTGTGACAGCACGTGCTGTCTCCGCCCCCGCACCGCTCTGCCGGACTGTGATAGGAGGGTGAGCGGTGTGTGAGGAGAGACGCCGGCTGCTCACAGCGCTCGGCCGGCTGTCCCTTTCTCTCCTCCCCGCTGGGCGCTGCTCTGTGTCCCAGCGGGGAGGAAAGAAAGCACGCATGCGCCGCTGTATCGGCAAAAAAATTCAATTTTTGGCATTTAGCCAAGAGTGCTATTTTCGGACGATATGTTTTCGGCGGGCGATATATCGGTGCGGTTAGAACCTCTGATTCTTGACTGGATTTGACTGCTGTCCACGTTCTCATGAAGGTGATTCTCTTCATTTCATGTCCTATCCTGGTTACAGCTGTAAGACTTTCTGCTCCTCTGTACGGGGACACGAGGCAGTTAAAATGTGGGACCTTCCAGACAGAAGAGAGCAGAGCGAAGCCCTCATCATTGTACTGCTGATCCTTCATTGTCCAATCATACGTGGGGGGTGTGTCCTGGACCAGGCTGTATTGTTGAGCCTCAGGGTGGTCCAGCAGCCTGGCTGTGCTGTCTGACAAGGGTCTGGATTTTCAAGACTGGCTGAGCTTCAAACCCTTTGGCCCCTGTTGGTTCATTCTGTCTTGTGTTGTCTCCTCCAGGCTCCCGTGGGTTCTGCTGTACATCGTTTTCATTCTGCTGGTCTCTATACTCATGGCGTGCATCACCACCAGCCTGACTCCATTCAGTCACAGCAGCTGGCTCTTGGTCTTTCTGCTCTACGCCCTCTATGGGATATCTCTGGTGAGTACAGAACCTAAAGTAGAACTACGACCTCTCATTAAAAAAATATGTGCTTCAGCGCCTAATTATACATGCATCAGCACCTACAGTTGTCTCTTATTCCCCCTTCAATGTCTCACAAATACCTGTTGATACTGCCAGTGAAGGTCACCTAATGCAGCTTCCTGTGATGCAATGGCAACAATGCTGCACTGCACCTGAAATCAGAGCATAGTTGTCACCCCCATGTAGGCTGGGCCTGCTTGTGGGATGGGAAGATGTTGCTATCAGCATTGTCACTGCTGATTCACAAGCCTGAAGCTTGTTGGTCAGCACTTGGCCACACTCAGTATGTGCATATGTATGTATGTGTGTGTGTGTGTGTATATGTATGTGTATATATATATATATATATAAACTGAACCCTACGGACTAAGACTGGGATGCCATTAAAGTTCATGTGCGTGTAAAGGCGTCCCAATACTTTTGGCAATATCCTGTATGTATGTATATATATATATATACACAGTATGGTAGGCAAGCAAGTGGACATTCTTGCACATTCGTTAATTGTTTATTATTTTTCTATGTTCATTATCGGTCATTTATTATTTATGTATCTATATTGTATCACTAATATTTTCATGTATCTATTTTTTATTATTCACAATACTCCTGAGAACTCTGAAGTAGTTGGCACACATTGAGATTTCTTTCAGGCCCCTTTTTATATTCTGGGTTAGATCATTATTTTGCTGACGGAGGTAGCGAGGTTTAATGCATTTCCTAATTGCTGCAGATTATGACGAAGCGAAATTCTTTTTCTGCCGATCAATTGAAGTATCGAAATCTGGGGAGTCTATTTTATTGTCTAATAAAGCCGCGTGTCTGCGTTCCATCTCGCCGCCTCAATAAAAGCAAATACGGCTTGAGGTCCGTCTCCCATCATAACGATTCCAGGGCTTCTAGTACTTTCCTTACAGTAACCCCGTATTCCATTTTAAACTTGTAAATGTCAAAGTCCTGCCGTGGAGAAGAGGCCACGAGATGCCTGAACTCCGGGATCAGCAAATATCGTCCTCATACAAGATTCCTGTGTATTTCTTCCAGATCTGTGCTGTAATCCAGTGTGAGACTTGGAGCTTCCTGTAACAAAGACCGCTCACTGCTGCTCTCTCTCCTTGTGCAGGGTGACTGGTCTTGTCTCCGCCCCCTCCTGTAATAAAGACCGGTCACTGCTGCTCTCTATCTTTGCGCGGGGTGACTGGTCTTGTCTCCGCCCCCTCCTGTAATAAAGACCAGTCACTGCTGCTCTCTTCTTATGCAGGGTGACTGGTCTTGTCTCCGTCCACTCCTGTAATAAAGACCGCTCACTGCTGCTCTCTCCTTGCGCAGGGTGACCGGTCTTGTCTCCGCCCCCTCCTGTAGTTTAATGTAGTGGGTGGAGCTCTGCTTGCTGCATGGGCTATGTACAGCACAGTGATGAAGTCATTGCTACTTTTACAAGGTAATACCCGAGTTTCAAAAGGCATTTAGTGAACACACAGACAGACATAATTTCAGCCATCCCTCACACATCATTGTTCATGGTCACACATAAATTTACCCCCCACCACACACTAACATTTATCTCATTATTTACACTCCCACAACAAATATTCCCTGTCAGAGCAATCAGTACCAACTGACACAGTGGCCGTCTGCAGGAGAGTCCGTCCATGTGACTCCGCCCACCTGTCAGTTCTCTAAACCCGGCGGTCCTCCGCTAAAATAATTCCTGTTACCCTTCGCACATCGAGTTCCTTAGCCACACAAGAAAGCCTTCCATAATCCACACACCTAGAATATTCATGTACACATACACACATGTTTATAGATGCCCGCCCAAGTTTTCAGGACACCGTGACACAGCCGCTCAGCACAGCGGATTCCTTTCCCGTTACTCCGCCCACCGGTCTTTTAAACCCGGCGAATCTCCCGCCAATGTTACTCACCCTTTCACTCGAGCTTGAAAAAGGGGATCACCTCGAAACGCGTCGCTCCTTTACCACTGTTCCGTGCACGTCCTCTCCCAGCCCTTGGTCCCTTTCACTCCGTCACGTCCTAAGAACACTGCCATCAAGACCATAGGCAGCTTCTTCACCAGTCCCCGGGCACATACAGCATTCAGTCCACATTGATTCCTCCTTCATCCATCCCTCCACTTGCTGGGAGACACCGAGTACATCTCGCACTGCCCACACTCCAAAAGGGCCCTCCATGACAGGACCTCGGCTCCACAAGTAAGTCCTTCACCTTTTGTGATTTTATTCATTTTTGTTTTTCCACCCGCCACATACAGACACTGGTTGTCCCTATACCCCCCACATTCCCAGGATTTGCGCTCTAATTTTCCCCCTTTTATTTAGTGAACACAGAGTGGATTGAATTTGATGTGGAGTGGATGTGTGGCTATTAAGGAATATAGAGAGAGAGTTTATTTTTATTTTATTTATTTTATTATTAGAATTCAAAAATATTTGTCATTTGTTGTAGATAATGTTTGCATTACATTCCAGTATTTTATATCAATATTATTATTATTTATTATTGTAGTTATGATGTTTATTATTATAGTTTATTTGTTGTTTCCTCTAGATAATGTTTGCATTGATGTTGACGCCACTTTTCAAAAAAGCCAAACAAGCCGGTGGCATTGCTTTCCTGTCCACGCTCATCCTCAGCGCTTTGGGTATTTTCATTGTGCTGAAAGACGATTTCCCAAAGTCCTTTGTGTGGTTTTTTAGTCCGTTCTGTCAGTGCACGTTCATGATCGGCATAGCTCAGGTATGTGCTCTATTGTTACTATCATTTCAAGGCAATAAAGCCAAAAACCCAGTTACTGTTGCCTTGGTTACCTTAGAAGTAAACTAAAATGGTTTGGGGTCAGTTTTAATTGAATTTTTTTGTAAAGTTTTTCTCTATTTCTGCCATGGGCCCTTTGTTGCTAGGAGACAGGAAGCCATTGCCTGCATCCTAGCAACCAGTAGGCAATAACGCTGCATTCTCGTACAAACGTTATTCCATACAGTGTTTGGATTGCGGTTTACGTTGTAAGTTCAGTATGCCCATGTGCATGAGCCCTTAGATTTGTATTTCTGTCTGGGTTGCTGTTGCAGATTTTCTCTCACTTCCTGTCTGGTAAAACTGTAGTCACCAGGACAGGAAGTAAGGGGGGAAAAAAAATCTCTCTGATGGGCCCAGATAGCAGTAAAAACCAAACTGGGGATCTAAACTTTCCCCATTCTATCTAAACAAATAAAAATAGGTTTTGGCATGACGTGCACATTACAAAGATCTGCCGAATGTACTGAAAGAGGAACTTCGCCCACCAACAGTAACTTTCAAGGTGCGCCGACTGTCAAGGTTGCCAGTGTTCCTTTTTCAGCTCTCAACCAAACTTTCAAGCCAAATGGCTGGTGTCAGAGCTGATCACATGTGCAGCACCATGGCAACTGCAATCCAAATAGAGGCCAAGATGGCGCCTTGCTTGTCTGTAATGGATAGGAGGTTGTAGTTCCGCTTTAAGTGATTGTAATCTGCTGATGTTTTTTGTCTCGGATATAGACATTAATAATGCAGAATATTGATTCTTCCGGTACTTTTCAGGTCATGATCCTCGAGCAGAATGGAAATGGCGCTCAGCTCTTTAATCTGAAGGATGGCCCCTACCCGCTTATCATCACCTTTATTTTCCTGGTGGTGGACAGTGTGATGTACCTGCTCCTGGCGTCGTACCTCGACCAGATTCTCCCGGGTAAGAACCCTCCGGGGGGGGGACCATTCACTGTAGAATCTGCAACACTTTTCATCAATACTGAATGTCCCGCGAGAAGTTCAGAAAAACACAGCAACAGTTTTATCGTGATTGCCGTCACGTGCAGCAAATTCAGATCGTTCTCATTAGTGACACGGGTACATTAGGTCGCAATGGCTGCGACAAGATCATTAAGAGGTACCGGCATTTTTGAGACAAGGATACTGGCAGTGAATAATGTAATTTGCTCTGGAGTGAGAGGTATGTGTCCCCC